AAAAAAAATGTTATTTTTACTCATTTTAATGTTATATTGAATTAAAAAAAATTTTATAAAAAATATTTACCAGGTAGTTTTAAACTTTAAAATTACTATTTGTAAAAAAAATTTTACCATACACCATCAATTTCTTATAAACAAAACTTTTACAACAAATTTTCTCAAACAGGAATCCTATCAAAAACTCTAAGAGTATGTTTGGTGCAGCTCCTAGGAGCTTCAGCTTTTGGATACTATTCATATTTCATGAATTTAAATTTGTCTCTTAAAAATTTACACTTTTAAATATTTTTTTAACCTCAAAAAGCTCTTAAACAGTAAAAATTCAAAAGTTTCAAATCCAAACTTTTTATAAACTCCTTTTTTACTTATTTTTCATTCCCTTTTTCAGCTTCCTAAAAGCTAAAACTCTATTTTTCTTCCAATAAAAATTTAAATTTATCACTCATAATAGTACTCAAAAAACTAATATTCTCACAAGCCACACCAAACAGGCCCTAAGTACACTAAACAAGTTTTCGCTCTGTTTTATTTATATACAGGGTACGCTTCTTGATGGACGAGCGATAGCTGTAAAAAGGTTGGAGCCTTCTAAACAAAGTGACTCGGAATTTAAGAATGAAGTTAATTCAGCGGCCCAGCTTCAACACCGCAATTTGGTTAGACTCTATGGTTTTTGCTCTGAAGGAAATGAAAGGCTTCTTATCTTGGAATTTGTGCCAGGCGGAAGCCTCGATCATTTCTTATTTGGTATGCACTTATACATACATACATATATATATAGATATATCCTTGGATCCTTTACATGTTTTCATGTAATTGCTTCTTCATGTGCTGGTCATCTACAAAGCCATGAACATCTTTTTAATTAATATCCTAGTGATTGGTCCTTGTTTTGCTTTAGTAACTAATCACATGTATGAACTATGAACATATAGATCAAAGCAAGCGGATGCAATTGGATTGGAAAAAGCGCCGGGAAATCATTAGAGGCGTTGCTAGTGGCCTTCTTTACCTTCACAAACATTCTCATTTTCGAATGGTTCATTGTGATCTCAAAACTAGTAATATTTTATTAGACAAAAATATGAATCCTAAAATTGCAGATTTTGGTGGCGCAAAGCTTCTTAAAGGAGATGAATCACAAGGCAGTAGTGCCGAGCCATATACGGGAACCCCGTAAGTATCAAAAATAGTAAAATTTTGACCTTTTTGTTATACACATAAATATCCAAGTAGGCCTGTTCCATATTGAAAATAATTTCATTAATATTGATATGCATGCAGTGGATACACAGCTCCAGAGTATGCAGTGAATTGGGATGGGCGTATCTCAGTAAAGGCGGATGTCTATAGTTTTGGCGTGTTGATATTGGTGATTGTCTCCGGTCGGGAAGCTACTGATCATTGTTCAGATGGGAAAAGCATACACAGCACTGTAAGTATGAAAAACTGAACTTATGTTTCTCTCTTATAACAAATAGAAGTTGAAATCTTAGCTGGATCTCATTTTAATGCTGAGAGCATTCATAAATTTTTGTAGGCATGGGAAAATTGGACGAATAAGACAATATCAGGGTTCATCGATCCAACTTTGAGGGAAGGCCCGACGAATGAAATCTTCAGATGTATCCATATTGGATTGCTATGCATTCAAGAGGATAAAGTCAGACCAAAAATTGATTCAGTTGTGAAAAACCTTAACTACGACCGCAGCACAACCACTCTTCCAGAGCCCGAACCACCTGCAGTTTTAGTGAAACAGGAAGGCCATTATCCGCCTCCATCTTATTTCTTGAAGCAGATAGCTTCTAGCAGTGAAAAACCAAACCAGGCATCAATTAGAAAAGTTGACAAATGACGGCCAGTTGTGCATGCACCTTGAGTGATTTACTGCTGAGACAAGGGAATCTTATCCCAATTTTCAATTTCCCGGTTATCTGGTAGTTACAGGATGTGGAACCACCAAGTTCTGCTTCCTTTTTAATGTATGGCCTTTTTCAATTTTTAAGCCTCATATGTTAAGTTGGAAAAAATTGTACGGCATTGTCAAGTTATCTAACAAATAAGTACGAGGATTTGCTGTGCTTTATAACCAGGAGGAGCCAGAACCTTCCTATTACCATCTTTAGCTGTTTCCATGGTCTTCTCTCGGTTCCCTAAATGACACATGATAGCAACATATTCTAGAGCCGTTTCACATTGCAGTCTTCACATTATAGGACAGATGATGATGCGGAAGGAGAGGATCTATTTCTTTCACACTCAGTAGAATGCAATACTATAGGATAACATAACTCATCCTTCTATTTTCTCTTCAGAGTTCTCTAGTTTATCTTCTGACACAATAATCAATTTCAAAGCCTAGTGCTTTTGCCATGTTCTGAGGGAGGAAGATAACATATATTGTTAGAATTTTGATTGTAGAACATTACATATTGGATGATGAATGCATTGTTATGATCAAAAAATGCAATCCATTCTTCTTAAGAATTCCAAACTTGTTTCTTGTCTGTTTGAAGTATCTTTTCTGGTAAAAGTTTCCTGTTTACACAGGGTGTCAAAATTTCCAACTTGTTTTTTCAGCAGATGAGTCCTGGTGGTAGTTCTCAGCAATTAACTGGGAAGACAACTTCAACAAAACCAAGGGGAAGGAAACACAGAAAGTCTCATGATTCTCAAAGATCCTCAGTTTAAGATTATCCTCCTTCAAGTTCTACACAGGCTACCCAATTTGGGTTGATGGGTTACACCTCAATTCAAACTGGTACAATGACAGCATTTCTGTCTACCCCATCTGTAACTCCAGCAGATACCTTACACACCTCAAACTCGACAGTTAAGAATCCTAGTACTAATGTCGCCTACCACATTCAATCCCCATATCATATGTTTCCATTACAACCAGCAAACACTTTCATGCCTGTGATATATTGACCTCCACCAACTGCATTTCCTCCAGGCCCTTGTCCAATTACGTATGGTTATCGATCTCATCCACCTATCGCAAACTGCATCTCCATCCATCCACAACATTATTACAACCAACCCACCTCCATTGGTCTAATTCCAAAGATAGTAGGAGGACGCGGGCGGGTGATGTGGACTTGGAGGAAGCTGATAGTGACTCAGATAGCAGTTTAAGCAGTGCAGAACCAAAGCAGGCATTAGAAAGCTGCAAGCAATGACCATTGGTGCATATTCATTTCATGTAAATTATCACCACTAGAGAATGATACATATTTTTGAACTCTTCTAAAATAGCCTGCGGGAAGTTTGACTCAGAATCCTTGTTTTAATGTTAACTCAGTGCTCCTTAGGTTGGTAATCATGCTATATATTCTGACCATTATTGCACTGAGTTGATCATGTTCTGAAACATCTTTTCAGAAAATTGTGTTAAACTTCTTCGTTCTCATCACATTTAGGTCCACCGTGTTCGGTTGCACATAGTGACAAAAATAAAAGCAACTATTAATAGACTAAATTAAAGCTAGACTTGGCATTCTGCCTTCTTGGACATTAGCACTTTGCACTCATCACAGCTAACTTGCCATCTAATTTAGATGTGAGATTTTCAAAGATTAGGACTGCTGAGACCATGTATAATGGATAACAATAATTAAAATGTTTATTTTGGTGTTATATTAACTATTTATCATAATCAATATAATTTTATCGGCAATGCATATATCTTAAATAAAGTTTTTTAAAAAATTATCGATCTAACTGTATTATGCTTTTAGAGTTTTTTTTTTTTTGCCCCGAAAGGGTCAAAAAGATGTCATTTTGATCCTTTTTAAGGTAAAAAAATTGACCGAAAAACAAATCCAGTTTGAGAATAAGCTTCAATGAAAAGATAGTATAAAAAATTCCACTCATACATACCCAAAACACTGAGATTTTGGATTTCCATTTCTTCCCTTCAACATAACATATATTATCATATTATATACCAATGCTTCACTGCACTTGCAGTTACTACTTTTTCAATTGAATAAATAATAGGTTATAAGAGAATTTTGTGAGTCTATTTGATATTTAAATAATTAATAAAAAATAAACTTAGAGCGTTAAAATAATATTAAATTTAAATAATATTATTTTTAGATATTTAAGAGATCTTAACCCTTTAATTAGTCAAAGATATAGATGCCAATCAACAGACTAATAAAACGCTTTCGACCCAAAAAAACGTCGTGTTAAGATTTCGGATTTCCAATTCTTCCCTCCGCCTTCAGCATGAGATATCAAAATAAAGAAAAATATGCTCGCGCGGACACCGACACTGGCACCCTATTGCTACCACGTCATCATCATGTTTAAAATCCAAAATTGGCAATGGAAAATAATTAAAAAATAATTTTTATACAATTTTATGTATAATTTAATAGGTGATTATTTTTTCTCTATTATAATTTATAATAATATATATTAATTTATTTCATAATATAAAAAAATTATATAAAAATAAAAACAAAAATTTGTCTCTATCACGTAACCATAGAATTAGATAGCTAGCGGCATTCCCTTGTTGTGGATCACTAGTGGCCACTGCAGTCCAACAAGACTGTCGGTGAATTGCACCATGATTAGTGGTCGAACTTTACCAAAAGTAAGATACTAACCTAACTTCTAATCTCTAACTTCTAATTATTAATATCAGGGAGGGGAAGACTGTGAGTTTTTGGTGGGATAATTGGGGGGGGAGGGCTGCCTTGCTAATAAATTTCCTAGATTATATCTATTATCAACAGGAAAAAATAATACATGCAGCGAAATGGGAAGCAGAAGCAATGGAGCATGGGAATGGAATCTGCAGTGGAGGAGAAATTTGTTTGAGTGGGAAGCGGAAGAGGCCATGGAACTTCAGAGCAAGATAAGAGACACTACTAGAAAACGCAGTATAATCGACAGAAAATACTGTCGATTATACAAGTATTTCTGTCGATTATATCTTAATCGACAGACATAATCGATAACAATTTTTGACGTAAAAACAACAGTAAAAAATGACTATAATCGACAAAAAATTTTTCTGTCAGGTTAAATGCTAAATTTGGTCCCTCAACTTTAGTGAGTTGCACATTTTTGGTCCCTCAACAATTTTTTGCACTTTTTTGATCCCTCAACTATACGAAATGCACTCCGTTAGTCCTTCTGTTAGATTGGGCTGTTAACCCTGCTTAGGTGGCATTTTTTATATTTTTTTTTATGATGTGGAGAGCAAAACTTAAAAAGGTGATGATTTGCATAAAACTTTTGCCATGTCACATGCCACATGGCGGAAACGCACAAAATCCATCCAATGGGTCCCACATCACCATTAAGAATTGCTTCTTTCCCCATCGATTACTGTTTTTATTCTTTTCCGGTGTTGTTTTTATTCTTTTCCGGTGCTCTTTCCATTTTTAAGATTTAAGTTCGACAGAACAAAACCCACTGTTTCTATTCTTTTCCGGT